TAGTGTACACTACACTGATCTACACTAGCTGTACCATACACTACACTGATCTACACTAGCTGTACTGTACACTACACTGATCTACACTAGCTCTAGTGTACACTACACTGATCTACACTAGCTGTACCATACACTACACTGATCTACACTAGCTGTACCGTACACTACACTGATCTACACTAGCTCTAGTGTACACTACACTGATCTACACTAGCTGTACCATACACTACACTGATCTACACTAGCTGTACTGTACACTACACTGATCTACACTAGCTGTACCGTACACTACACTGATCTACACTAGCTGTACTGTACACTACACTGATCTACACTAGCTGTACTGTACACTACACTGATCTACACTAGCTGTACTGTACACTACACTGATCTACACTAGCTGTACCGTACACTACACTGATCTACACTAGCTGTACTGTACACTACACTGATCTACACTAGCTCTAGTGTACACTACACTGATCTACACTAGCTGTACCATACACTACACTGATCTACACTAGCTGTACTGTACACTACACTGATCTACACTAGCTGTACCGTACACTACACTGATCTACACTAGCTGTACTGTACACTACACTGATCTACACTAGCTCTAGTGTACACTACACTGATCTACACTAGCTGTACCATACACTACACTGATCTACACTAGCTGTACCGTACACTACACTGATCTACACTAGCTCTAGTGTACACTACACTGATCTACACTAGCTGTACCATACACTACACTGATCTACACTAGCTGTACTGTACACTACACTGATCTACACTAGCTGTACCGTACACTACACTGATCTACACTAGCTCTAGTGTACACTACACTGATCTACACTAGCTGTACTGTACACTACACTGATCTACACTAGCTCTAGTGTACACTACACTGATCTACACTAGCTGTACCGTACACTACACTGATCTACACTAGCTCTAGTGTACACTACACTGATCTACACTAGCTGTACCGTACACTACACTGATCTACACTAGCTCTAGTGTACACTACACTGATCTACACTAGCTGTACTGTACACTACACTGATCAAGTGATCAGATGAAGAATCTCAGCGCTCCTGTAAAGAACGTTCCCTTTATTTTTTTTAACCCTTTCATATAAGCGGCTCATGCTGTCTACTTTTTGCTGACTGCTGGTCAAAACACTGCTCTACTGTGAGCCATCCCATAATGAACACAGTACATGGCCATGACCACAGTATCACGCCAGATCACATCAAAGCCCCGATCATGACAACATCATCAAGATTATTGTGAATACGTCCCCCTGCTGGTTAGGTGGAACTGAGCTGGAACACACTGCACTCAAAACACATCCCCTGCACATCAAGAGAAGTGGTCCGTGTGTGTGTGTGTGTGTGTGTGTTGCATAATGAATGCTGTGTGTGCTGTGACAGAGCGGCGGCCGGTGCGGACACTGTGATGATCTGCTGCTGCCGGTGGCTGCTAGAGAGGTTGCCATGGAGACAGCAGTGAGATGATTGGTAGTGCTTTACAAGGTATGATTCACACACACACACACACACACACACACACACACACACACACACACACACACGACTGAACAGGTCAGGGAAGATATGTGTGAGGAACAACACACAGCAGCACTTGTAGTGTTTAAGCACATCGAGCACTGGATCTGTGGCGGGTTTGGGGATGCAGCGCTCCTCATGCAGGTGTTGAGGATGAAGCCTCCACTCAGAGTTCTTCAGTCCATTGCTGTATTATGACTGTGCTAATGAGCAGCCGGTCTGGTGTGCTGCTCACCCTGCAGTACTGTGACCCATTACACAGAAGTATTACTGTAATAATGGCATTATTGGACTGTATTTATTGGACCTTTTTATGAACACATTGAAAATATCCAAATATTAAAGTGTGGAGGGCATATTTAAATGTACAACACTAAAACACAGGGAATGTTCGTGTATTTTTTAACTCTGTTAATCAAAGTAAAAGCAGCCAGCCTTTATTTTGACGGGCTGCCTGTAAAGGTTTGTGCTGCAGTTTTAAAGCTCGTCAGTGAAGGAAACGAACC